TTGTAAACCTTCCTGGGGTGGTTTGGGCTTTTTTTGGGGGGAGGAGGAATTAATAGAAAAATAAAGTTATCAGCTCAAAAATGGTAACAAAAGCATCCTTTTTAGAAGATGCATTAACTGCTAGGAAAACCACATCAATGAATGTGCTCACAGTCTCATGCATGAAGTAGGTATGCGAGAAGGGACTTGCCGAAGCTTATGAGAATCCAATTACAGAAATAGATTTAGTTAAAACTCTCAATTTATCTGAAGGCAGGACTATGAAACAGCTGAATGTTTTGAAGTTTGAGAGATATTTAAAGGTCTGTATAGGTGTCAGCATATTCTTTCATGTGGAAGAATAAGGGAAAATGTCTCCTAGCCAAACAAAGGTTTTCAAAAGAAAGAAACTGCACAAAACTCAATTAAGAGGATATTTAAATTGTCAGCTGGTAATGTATTCTGGGATGATCATGTTTTAAAATATTTTAACATCTGTTGAACAATTCAGAGAAGCATTAAACTAAAGATTTTGTTTGCTTGTTTCTTAACAGTCTTAAAATAATGATGTTCCAAATAAATTTTGCTAAGCATATAACGTTGGGGTATTTGCATCAAAATCTAAATGCGTAAGACCAGAACTGTAAATGTATTTAGAAACCTTAATGGTTCAAGTGGATAGCAAGTGGGATTTTCGAGGCATGTAGTCACTTTATTGCTTTTGAAAACAGTGCTGGGGTGTAATATTGAAATGGAGGCTGTAAATATGCCTTGTGAGAAGACTGGGTTAGCAGTTGTGCTCTATTTCTAATTGTTACGTTTAGGTTGGTGACGACATGACTCCCATTCTGGCAGAATCTAAAGTCTGAGGTTTATATACTAGAAATGCAGATGGGTTTGTTTTCTTTCCAGTTCTCAGCTGTTCACATGTGACTGGCACTGAGAGGATGCTTCTGTAAGAGCCTGTAGGTGGGTGTTATTCACTGAGAAGGGAAAGCCTGCCCTGGCTGGCCCAGGTCTGCCCAAGCGGAGCTGAGGTGGATACCACCAGGGACTGTATTCTCATAGCTCTTCTGCTCTCATTTTTCACCATTCGTGGAACTCTTCCTTTTAGAATTGAGGACCTGTAAGTTAGCTGGTACCCTAGGGAGGGTATTTTCAGCAGTAGTATTTTCCGCAGGAGAAAGGCAAGGTCACACTGCCTTCACCACTGTCTTTTAAGACCCTCCCATCTGTATCCCATGGGTAAGAAAGGCAGTCGTGTCAGACTCACTGCAAAGAAAGGTACTGTACTAGTCTACTTTTACTGCATTCTAGTTTACACCAAAGTTAACCCTTATGGTCATATGACCTTGTCTAGTAAAGGACATCATTTTGGTAAGAAAATTGGAGTAAACGTTCTCTGTTTATATTGTGTTTTAGTATGTCAGTGAGTATAGGCTTGAGTACAGTATGAAGTGGGTATAGTATTGGAGTCAATTTAGAAAATGAGGTAACAGCTATTTGAATCTCTCTTGCCACATCCTGTCATTTACAGTCATTTTTCTGACTACTTTTTTGTTCCCTCTGGCTGTTGAAAACCCTCAATAACTAAAATAAGCAGTTGCTTTTGAGGATCTGACGAAACATTTTTCAATATTCACAACTGCAGGGTTTGCCTGCAGACATGTTTAGCAGCCTTGGTTTAGTAATTGCTTCCCCACATGTCAGTAGTTAGTATGGCTGTGTCCTGCTATGGGACATCCAGCCAGGGACTGCAGGTAAACAGCCATCTGTGCCTAAGGAGGCAGGAGGAAGTTTGGCTACCAAGGAGGGATGAATGGTTCCATTAAACAGGGACTGCATCCACTTGTGATGCAGAACTGCTTTTAAATTGCAATTTAGGTGTCTTGAGGAGTCTCACAAATGCTAGGACCTACTTAAACAATCCTTTTAATTCAGCAGTTTTGAGTTCAGTTTAATAATACACTTGCTCCAGTGTAACTACAGGCTTCTTGCAAAAGTGAGAGTCCCACTGTGCCTTTCCTGCTCCCTTGTGTTAGATACAATAATCAAACAACTGCACAACCAGTCAGAGGCAGGGGAAAAATAATCCACTCAAAAAAACCCCCAAAAAACAAACAAACAAACCTTAAAAACCAAAACATTCCAAAAAACCCATTTGTTTTCTGTGCATCAGTGAGCTGAGCTGGTTCACTGTGTAGTTTCATGACCTGAAGTCATCAACAGGGCATTCGAAAGTAGAGCCAAGAAAAGGAAAGCAAACTGCCGTTTCATTGACAGACATGGTTATATTGGATAAATCTAACTCTTAGGTTTAATTACTGTCATCCTTAATGAACCATGCCAGTGCCAGCATCCCTGCTGTTCAGTTGCCATAGAGTCATACAGCACAGGTGCTTGTGTTTCCTTCAGTCATGAAGCCACCAGTGTGCTGATGCCACCCTACCAGTCTTTTTCTGCTTAGTGGCAAACACTTTTTAAAAAAAACAGGGTTAGATAAACTAAAGTGACCTGCTTTAGGAATGGGGCAAATTCTTGAAAGAATCTGGCAATGACAGATTATTTTTCCCCATGCAGTTGCTATGGAAACGGGCCCTTAAAGATCGTTTCAAATATGTGCGGAGACCCATTGAAGATGATGAGCAAGTCCTGAGGAACAAATGCAAGTTTGGCCACAGGCGAGGACAGACCAGAAAATCTTCATTTGCTGAAAACAATCCTGATTATGTCCAGGTACAGGTAGAGGTAAGATTTTTGGTGCTTGACTGAGTTCTGTCTTTCAGCTCCTCTGCTGACAGTAAGGCCACCAGCCAGTAAAGGGTAGAATGAAGTGATCTTATCCTATTTAAACTCATTTTGTATAAAGTTTATCCTATAGCCAGACCCTTGACTTTTTTCCATTTCTGGAGAACTAAGTACCAACTGCAGAGCTAAACCAAATACCGGGTGCCTTGCACATTTGTTGCCATTTAGAGTTGTTGCCAATTGGACATAAAATTCTGTCTGCTTTTCAAATGCAATATTCCCATTCTGCTTTATGTTATACACCTCCAGTTAGAGTGGAAAAACAATAGATGCACATGTCTAAGAGCCGAAACCTCTGTACAAATAGGAATCAAAAGTGATATTTGAGCTGGTAGCAAATGACCATATCCTACTGTCATACTGCACTTTGTTACATAAAAGCTGTTTGTGTTGATGTGTGATATACATAGGGATGCTTATGAATGTATGCATGCAGTTGCTGTGTTTCCCTTTAATGAGAGAATTTAGAGAGTCATAACCGTTCAGTAAGTGTTTGAAGCATACCAATTCATTTATACACTTTCATTAAAAAAATAAGGTTCCAGTTATGCTTTGCCAATGCTCCTTACACTTTCTACAGTGCTGCAATTAAAATGTGGTAAAATTTAAACAATTGTAGGAATGTGATAAAGAAGATATTAAAGCAGACATTTGACTTCAGTCTATATATGTCCATCCTGCTGTTTACCAGACTCATTTTTAAGGGAGTAAGAGTGGTTTACTGAATGCATTTCTACATACATTGTATGTGTTTTAAGGTAGCTGTAGTTTTCTACCCAAAAAGCAGATATATTGCTTGGTTTTGGTTTGGTTTTAATTTTTTGTTTGTTTGTTTGTTTGTTTTAGAAGCTTGAGTAATTTCCATTTATCCTCTTTTAATTAATGTGTGCAGGAATAAACACTTTCTTCTTTTTGCCTGCTTTAGTTGAAAGGTTTGCAGAATGTGTGATGTAAAAACCCTTTAATTTGGTTGCAAAACAATCAACAGTCTTGCATGCAATGAAGGAGAAATTATAGGCTCCTACTTTTGTGTGTGCATTAAGAGTTAGCCATCCTTTATCTGCTAATGCTTGGAAAGGGCAAATGTGAGTCTTTTTTGTCACATCAGCTTGTTGAGAAGGGCTTTGCAGTGATTCTGTGGGGACTGCATGTTCAACTTCATTTTTCTGTAGAGAAAGTGTAACTGCACTGCAGTTATATGTGTGTAAACTAGGAATCACCACTCTTTTTAACTTCACTGCCCAAGGCCATCACTGGTCATCCCTTGTTTTCTTTAGAAATTGAAGAAGAAGAAAGTATGTTCCATCTCTTCTAAAGTCCTAGGCATTTTCTGCTAGCCTTAATGTTGTAAGTGAGTAAGCTTTAACTGGAAGAAGGTGAAAGGATGCTGAGTATCCCTGAAGTTTTCATTTCTTTCTCTCTTTTTCCTGTGTCCTGAACATATATATAAATATAAAAAATAAATGCAACAGTTAACACTTATGGAGCCTATTAAGCCTTGAGTCCCACAAAATTGAGGAAATCATAACTTTCTTAATTTTAAATGTGTTCCTATATTGAAAATAACTATGTCTGGCTCTGAGATCCTAAATTACATCAATACAAATGTGCACAGCTGAACAAGTTGTTTAGCATTCTTTTAAACAAATGCAGTGTGAGGTTTTTCATTCTGTATATTTATGAACACACATAAAGGCACCTGTCTGCCAATCCTTGGCACTAGCCACTTTGTGATAAATTTAAACTGCTAAACAAAGAGTAAAATAAATATTTGGTCTAGAAGCCAATACCACAGACAAAACCAAATGATATTCAAATTATCATTAGCCAGATCCTCTTGTCTTCATCCCTTTTACAAGTTTGAAAGAACAAGAACAGATCAGCCTTGTGTGGACTAGAAGCCCATATATCAACATTATTTAAGGTAAAAGGGTGGGAAGTGACTTCCAGGATAAGGAGATGTTTGGAGAACAATCAGTCAAGGATTCCTAGCCCCTTTATGTCTCCACACTCTCCCTAAGATAGGCAGAGTAGGTCATTGAGGGCATTATAGGTCAAAGCCAACTGGCAAGCAGTGCAGATGAAAGAGCACATCTGTTCCCAACAGATGACCTACTTACCAGCCACACAGCTCACTTCTGTATTGGGCTTTAGTTTCTGAAGAGTTGTAAGATGTAACTCTGTCAAATGTGCTTTGCGTCACTGTAACTTGGATTGTTAATAGTATGAAAGTGATAAAAAGATTATTTACTAATAGGAAATACCTCACTGGTATATGTGGCATTTGTTTTTATATAAAAAGGGTAATAAAGCTATTACTACTAATAAAATCATTGACCCCTCTTTCTATTTCTTCATGTGGAAAAAAAAAAAATAGTTGTTTGCCAGGACAAGCTTCCTGTGATGTTTTGGGATGTGCTCAGAGCCACAGATGATGTCTGCCCCTTGATCTGTCCAAGCCCTGTTACCTGCCAGTAGGCATCCCTCCTCCCAACACAGCAGGAGTGTCACTTGGCCTCCCATGCAGGGCATTGCTTCCAGATACAGCATCTGTCTTTCTCCTCCAGTTTCTTTAAAACATCTGCTGATGTGTTGCTCATTACAGAGCATTATATTCAAGCAAGACTGAAGATCGTACTCGTTTTAGAGTGGCTAGCATCACAGGAAAGGTCTTGAGCAAGTGCAGTTCCTAGGGCTGTAAAATGATGGTAAGAAAGAACATAAACCCATGCTGGAGGTGTCTGTCACTGAAGGATGTTTTGGTTAAAATGATGCTCGCTACAAATATTCATCAGGTTGAGCCACCACTGGCAAGAAGCTTGGACTGTGCCTGACACAGACATTAATATGAGCCTCCATGTCTGAGGAATATTCAGAACTTGGTCAGGAAAGCCTCCTTAATTAACAAATTTTCTGGTTATGGAGTGAGAATCCTCCTGAGACATTTTGCACAGTCAGGCAAATATCCTGGAGCTGCAGTAATCCAGTGAAGAGTGCTTTGTAATGATAATGACCTTCATCTGCTGCAAATGGAAGGTACTTTGCATAAGAGGGGTGATCACACAGTAAAAATGAATAAGAAAAGCAAGCCAGTCTCCCCTCTGCAGCCAGGTGGGATTATTGCTAAGGCAGCCATCCAGTGGCTTGCTCTGACTGATCTTATCCTTCCCCCCACCCCCCACCCTCCCCCTCAAAATGGCACCATAAACCCCTTCCTCTGCCTTAAGGAATTATTTGGCTTATGGTCTTCCAGGCTATGAGAGAAACCACCTCTTGCCAGTTGTAACAGGAGGGGCCTTAGACTTGGGGAGCCAGAAACAATAGGAAGATAAGACACTCTTGGTATGCATCTTTAGCCAGAGGATTATTGAAAGGCAAAAGGTGATGGAGAGGGAAGTATGGTTAGAGCTGGTGATTGACTTCCATATGATGAAAGCATGTGGTTCAAATAGTAGTCATCACAGGGGTGGTGACTAAGGAGCAAACTGTCCTTTTCAGAACTTCAGGTTTTGATATATTGTCAGTCTTGAGCAGTGCTGTCCATGGAAAGTGTGACTTCACAATCAATTTGGTTATCTGAAGACAGATGTAAAAATGCCCGCAGCTATCTGGCATGGCTCCACCTGCCAATTCAGAAGGACATGGGTCTCCCATAGGTCCTGTGTTACATTCCACTAGTTCTCAAGGTTTCTGAGATACCTTTATGACATCTCAAATGCCACCATATAACTATAGCTGATCAAATGAATCAAGCTCCTTCAATCTATCCCAGCAGTTGTATAAAGAAAACCTGTCAGCAAAGGGACTATCCAAGGATATCTTAAGTTACCTGAATTTTAAGAGAATATAACAGGCTAGAAGACTGTTAGTAGTTAATTACCTTAGACAGAATTGAGAGAGAGAGAGAGAGAGTACAGTCCCTCTTCTAATACCTCTGATTTCTTACATCCTATGACAGCCTGTTTGTGAGGTCATTAGGGCTTCTCTGAAACTGTCACACAAGTAAATTTGGAGCTAGCTGTGAAAAGTAGAAATAGGCTCTGACAAGACGTCAGTTAAGATAGCAGTAGAGGTTTGCAGATAACTGGGCAAATTTGTCACACCTAGCAGAGCTGGGAATAACAATTGATAAAAGGGGGCACCAGCAAGCCATCTCCTTTCTGTGTCTATGGCATAGAGATAAGAAATGTTTTGATGAGTACTGAGACTAGGAGAAGTGGAAGGATTCTGCAGAAACTTAAACTCACAAAGCTGAACGTCTGCTGATATTATTCCTGTACAGAGAAGGT